GCACTTGGCGGAGTATGATCTGGCACAGACAGCTGAGGACAGCAATTGGTTAAAGATTTGCTAAGCAACAGAAACTCTCATTTCATTCTCTTAGAAAAGGAACATTTTCCTTCTTGCTTTTGACTTTTATTTTTTCCCTCTGGATAGCCAAGTCTCAGTGTCTCATGAACTGCTTTAAAAATCGGAGAGAGCTGAAAGAGAGGGCAAGAGCATGTGGGCAGCTCTCATGATGCATGGGCAGCTTCAGCAAGGGAGCTGCCATATCATGCCTGTGCAATCAATGTGCAATCCCTGCCTGCCGCTCCCCCCAGCTGCCATCCCTCATGGAGGAATCCATGCCCAGAGTGTCACAGTTGTGCTGCTGGGAACAGCCATGGCTAGGGGCAGGTTTGTGCCAGAGCACTGAGCAGTATTTGGGCTGGTGCTGGCAGATCTAGTTGTGAAACATCTGACCAGGCTCTAGCTAAGTGGGCAGAGCTGGAAGCAGGAGTCAGTGCTCATGGTGCATCACCCCATTTCCCTGTCTGCTCCTTGTACGCTCTCAGTGGCTTGTCAGAAGGACTCTGCTTACATTCAAACTCCAGAAGAATAGTAGCTGCTCAGGTGAACAGAAAGCCCCTTCTGCCTTGAAGAGAGTGGGTAAATGTAAAATGCCTCTCCAGAACAAGTGCTAATTACTGGAACAGGAAAAATGAAATTCCTGTAGTCTAAACCATGTAGGCCGATGCTGCCTAGGTCCTATTCCTAAGATACCAGGAATGGAAAGGGAATTGGTCAATTCCAGCTCTTTTTAGGCTTTTTAAAGCAGAGCTTACCTTGAAGCACTCAAAGCTGATAGATACAGAGTGAATGACAAGGGTTTGCTATAAACAGGCAGTGTGCAGGTTTTATTTCTGTTCCTATTATGCAAATGTTCATTACTGTACTTTGGGAGACAAAAAATTACATCAGAATGAATGTCACCAATGCCATTAATTCTACAATCTGGGTATGACTGAGGCTTTCTTACCAGTCCTGCAGATGGATGTTGCCAGCTTTGCCTTGTAGGGATGGATGGCTGATAAACCAGAGATTACATCCCTCAGCACTTGTGGGTGGGGAGGATGTTTTCTTCTGGCAACAGTCCACATCTCTGCACAATGAAAACCAAGTCTCCCCCTCTGCTTTCCTCTATATACCCACAAAAATACCCAGATGCATAGTTCAGGATAGATACAGCACATGTAAGTTCACCACAGTTGTCTTTAGTGGGAAGAGGACGTGATCCTGTGTCAGGCAGCAGAGCTGTAGCAGTCCCTGTGACCTTGCTCCCAGGAGATTTCCACCCCATACTGCTATTGGGAAGCTGCTCATATGAATCCCTAATTGAAGATGTTATATTTGCATTTATTAAAAATAATGAACTACTTATTCTTACCAAGCCTTCTGGCCACATCCAATAACCACCTCTACATCACTGCCAGTGTCTGTCTACTTTATTCTGATGTTTCAAAGTCTCCCAAATGCTTATTAAAGTCAACTGTGCAGAGTTAAGAGGTGGGAAAAAAGTCTGGAAGAGGGTCAATGAATAGTATTATGTCAAGGTTTTGTTAGTCAACAGACAATTTATTGTAATATGGAATATAGTAGTGGTAAAAGGATGAATTTGGGTTTAATTGCTGGCAGGTAATGACCTATGGGATCCCTTGTGGGGACATGTCTCTGTCTTGCTGCTCTAGCTCAGGTCAGCACACAGCATGGAGTGCTTGGTCCAGTGTGTGCAAAGGCTTCTGCTGGGGCAGAGGCCACCCCCAGGACACATGCCATGTGTTGCTGCACTTGGGCAACACCTCACTGCACCCTGATGTGTCTGCCTGTTGCCTGTGTGAAGCACTCATGGCCCTTTCCCATGGGGGACTCTCCCCTCCTTAGGCAGTCACACAGCTTCTGTTTGGTGGACTTTTTGGGGGACACTGTGGGTTTAGGCACGCCACAGGCAGTATGAAGCAGTACATACCTTCAGCAGGGCAACAAACTGCTCCAGAATCATGTGTAAGTCGTGCTGGGAGAGAGCCCCAGGAGTACAGCTGCGGGTCTCACTGCTCTGGGGGTGAGCAGGGCTATGGGCACTGCAAATCAGTACTGCGGATGCAGTCAGGTTTGGCATAACACGGTATCTCCTTCCCCCAAGGTGCTTTCAATTCTCTGATAGCAGTTCTTACCTAGGATGCTGTCTTAGGTACCCACACAGCTAGAAGTGTGCATTTGTCCATCACCATTAGAGTTCAGCCTTTATCTTACCTCTAAAGGAAATGCTCTGATAAATATTTATCTCCTCAGATAGAGCGTGACTATCAGCACTTGTTCTCAACTATTATCTCATAGGTTGATAAATTTGGATGGTCGTCTCTGGCCTGCTGTGGCAAGTACCCTGATTCATCAGTGGTTCTGATGCTGCTGTTCCTCTGAGGTCTCGGGTTTTGGCTATGAGAGAAAGTGGCTGCATTTGAACTGGCGATGTGGGATTCTGTGCTTGTCTGCCCAGCACAGACATGGTCTCTCCTCTTGTTCCCATTCTTACATGTTTTAGTCATACAAACAAAAATCCATGTAACTGTTTATCCCCATGATTTCATGTGGATCTGTCAATACTGGTTTCCAGCCAAGATGAATCTATTTTTGTTTCAGGTTTCAAATTAAAACGAATATCCATTGCCCTCCGCCTCCATATACCACCCTGTTTGAAGTAAACAGCAGTGCTGCATCGGGGGCGCAATTTTCTCATCCTAAATTACTTTTTTCTGGAGTATCTCACCATATGGGCTGTCGCTCCCAGGCCGAGATCTTTCTGCATTGCTGAGATCCAGCTGGTGTCAGGAGGAATCCTAAAGTCTTTCTAGGCGCCTTTTGCTGAAAAGAGGTTGTAGTGAGGTAGGGTCTGTCTCTTGTCCCAGGTAACAAGCACTAGGACAGGGGAAACAGCCTCAAGGTGTGTCAGGGGAGGTTTAGACTGGATATTGGGAAAAATGTGTTCACTGGAAGGGTTGTCAAGTACTGGCACAGGGCAGTGGTGCAGTCACCCTCCCTGGAGGTATTTAAGAAGCAAAGAGGTGTCACTGAGGGACGTGGTTTAGTGGTGGCCTTTGCAATGCTGGGTTAACGATTGGACTTGATGATCTTAAAGGTCTTTTCCAACCCAAGTGATTTGATGATAATCTGAGCAGTTCTTTAAGTTCTTAAGTGTACAGCACTATTTTTCCCAGTTCATAAGTCAATGGACATGTGGCTCTGTGAGTGGACAGTGTGACAGGAACAGAAGCCCCTTGACTTCTGCTAGTGACAGCTTTGCCAGATTGAGGAGGATTCCATTTTTGACATCTTGAAGACCTCATGCCTTAGAGCAGGGGACGGGAGTACAGTGTCCCTCTGGCAGCTATTGCTTTTGGTGGGAAGATGCTTTCAGTTGCATTGATGCAGATAGAGGATTCCAGACACAGCACTGAGACCTCCATCCTGCTGCAGGGTGGCAGGACCACCACAGCCCTCACCCACTGGTGAAGGCCTGATACAGGGGTGACCACTCAGTTGTAGGAGCACAGCTCCTGCCCCAAGACCTGGGGAGTCTCTATCATGGCACCAGCGTCCAGTCAGGGTAGTGATGTATCGCTGCAGTGGCAAAGGGAGAGCAGATGTCGCCTGCTCAATGGGAGCTCCATCATCTCTCTCTGCTCTCTGTTTGTATGAGAAATCACATTTCCAGGCAGGTCTTCACCTCTCTTTTCTCATCCTGGCAACTGGGGTGTTGTGCAGGTGCCATTACGTGACGGCACATTTGCCATGGCCTCTGGTCACTCTCCTGCCTCTGCTGTGTGCAGGGGCTTTCCATGGGCAGGCTGTTGCCTATCAATTATTTTATTGAGTAAATGCAGATAAAATATTCATAAAATAAATACAAAATATTTAAATAAGAAGAGCTGAAGAATCTCATCCAGCTTTCCAGTGCCTTGTGGAGATGCCCTCAGTCTGCCAGACCCCCTCTGGATCAGGGCCTCTAACCTGGGGCTGTGGGACCGCAGCCACAGCCAGCCTTGGGGAGGAATTTTGAGGAGCCAGGGAGTGTTGCACAGGTCAGGCTCCCTCACTGATGACAGCATGGCAGCACTATGTGCCCCAAGTCTCGGGCACTTTGCGCTTGCCTGCAAACAGCTGTGTTCCAGTTCAAGACCTTAGTATCTGAACAGGACCTCACCTCACCCCAGCATTCCTCAGAAGAAGTGCAGTTGCTGTGTTCTGAGTTGTAAAACAAGATTAAAGAAAACAAATTACTTTGCATGATACCTTTTGCAACTAGCAACTAATGGAAAGCTCTTTGCTGACAGAGATGCAAATCCGCCTGAGCATGCAAAGACAGCATCTCTGGTGATGAGCGCAGCAGGTCACAAAGGGCTGTGTCACCACACGGATGCAGTGCAGCTTCTGGGGCCTCTGGGATCGGTGTGTGATGAGATCCTTACTGCAAAGTTAAAGGGAAGCTGGGGAAACCTGTTGAGACAAGGTGCAGGGATGAATTCCTTCAGACAAGTACAGTATTTATGCAGATGCTGCCTTAATCCCAAGTCACCCTGTGCAAACAGCAAATTAATTCTGGGTCTGAGGCTGCCTCGGTATGTTTAACTCCTCCTGTACCTGGGCACTCGCTACCTCACCTTCTGAGAAAACATAACAAGGTGTGTAGCTGATTGATTGAAATATGGCAGAACTGGGCAAATTCTGGGACCTCTCCTACCCCCTCCCAGCTCCTGGATGCTTGCAGAGTTTTATTTGAACAGTTTGTTCATTTAATGTCCTTTAAAATGATGTGCCCATACGTATCTGACAGAAAAATAAGTGAACAAGTATCTTGCACATGCTTCTGCTGCCTGAGGAGGGATATGGAAGAGAAGGATTGTGGTGAAATGTTCTGTTGCATTTACTTGTTTCCCCTGACTCCTGTGCCTGGGAGCACGGTTGGAGACTGCTGCTTCCTACCTTTCTGTCAGGCTCCTCATTAGCAGGAGCACGCAGCCCGTGCAGCTGGAGCTTTGATGCATCCCTCACTATCCTTTCCCACTCAGAAGATTCCCATTCATTCTGATTTGGTACCCAGCCCAAAGCCCTGGCTCCCCCCCCCGAGCCCCTCGGCATGGCTACAGGACTCCAGTTTAGTATGCACTGGAAGAGACGAGCTGATGCTCCCGCGCTAGACCTCCCGGCTGCTGGTTGGAGCCATAAGGGATCGGGAGGAAGAATTAGCCTGTGTGTTTATGTGGCTGTGCTCCAGTAAATATTTTGATGCATCTGCTGCCAGCTCTGGTCTGAGGGAATCTACCTAGCATTTAAATTTTGATGGGGAGCTGTTTTGAATAATAACAGTGCAGCCGGCTCTGAGTCAGTGCATGTGTGTTGACTTAAAAAAAAGCCCTCAAAGCTTAACGCTTGCTGAACGCTGAGCTGCAGTGCTTCGCTTTTTCCCTCCTCCTTTCTTCTTTTCTTTCTTCTCTTGACTTCCTCTGTTTTGTTTTGTTCTTGGGGGCATTTCCCCCCGATTGTGTTCACTGGCAGTGGAGGGCTGGGGGGAGAAGGATTAGAAAAATAACCCCAGCCAAAATAAATCCTCCTCAAAAACTCAGAAGTAGCTTTTGCAATGGGTGCTGTAATGGGTACGTTCTCCTCTCTACAAACGAAACAAAGAAGACCATCAAAAGGTAAGACCTCCTGGTTTGCTTTTCCAGTCCCTTCTGTATATTTGCTGGGAGAGAAATTCGTATTGGGAAGGAGGGAGAAAATGAACATGTGCCACTTGCAAGTAAGCCAGCAGTGTTTGTAAGGTGCAGTTTGCAGAGAGTAGGATATGGGGTGGTGGAGGAGGTATGTGGGCATGAGAATATTGCTGTGGAGGGGTCTGGGGGGTGAAAAGCAGCTGAAATACTCTAATCCTTCGTACAGGCATCTGTGTGTGTGTGTGAGGAGGAGAAACTCACAGGCTCCATATGCAGAGCACTTGCAGAAGAGACTTGTTTATTTCCAAATCCCATGTTTTATAAAACCTTCGAGGAGGGAATAAAATGTAGATACACAGCAAATACTTCCCAATACCTTGTGGGTTCTGTCTTAGAAAGTATTGTTCAAGTCAGTGTTGCATATTCAGTAATCCAGCACCAAGTGTGCAGTGCTGATGATGTGTGTTTTGTAAAGATTATCAAGAGGGGAAAAAAAATTGGGAGGTTTTCATAAAGAAGGAGAGGAGGAGAAGCTCATGAAAAATTTGGAAATAAGCAGCTATGCCAGGGATTTGAATCCTTAAAATCTGTAAATACTGGCTGTGAAATGCTGGTGTTTTGGGAGGTCTGGTGTGTGGAGTGTTTGCTTGAGCTCTGCTCCATTTCCTCAAGGGTTAATTCAGAAATTCCAGGGTGCTGCTGAGCAGAAAGTTACAGGCACTCTCAGGGACACATCCATGCCATACAGAATGAGTGTTGTTTAAGAAACAACAGGAAAGACGCTGTAACTTCAGCAAGTCTTTCTGCTGTTTGCAAATATTCCCTGCCAGAACCTCTGCATTTAACAGTCGCTCGGTATTCCTAGGGTAGGTCTCTGTTTCCACTGGATCTGTTGCTCAGTTCGTATCTATACCTTTGAATCCAAGCTGGTGTGGATTTTCTATCAATTTAAATTACAAGTTATCCTTGGAAATATCAAATATCAAGAAATCCCTCTAAATAGAAATGGGGAATGGCTGTGCACTTGTGATTGTGGCGAGTGTCAGTGTCAAGTTCTGTGTTCCTGGTCCAAGGCAGGTAGGGTAAAATTTCTATTACAGTGTGTGCACATGGTTTACAGTTCACCTTCCTGTGTTGTTGTAATGCAGCCATAACTGTGGGATTGCCTGGGATGGATATGGTATTATTTACAATGCAAGTATAACTGCACAGCTGTCCAGGCACCAAGTCACACCTAAAGCCATGGGAAGCACAGGAGAGCTGAGCGCAGTGCGCTGGGCACGGTGGCTGTGGAGACATCCAGTGTGTGGGGGGGGTCTTCTCCACCTGCCAGAAACCTGCAATCTGGAGCTGATTTCCACTCAATGTGGATAATTTTGTGCTGAATGCATCTGCTCTCTATCACTTTGTGGTCTTGCACTTGGCTCAGCTGTCCAGTGGAAGGAAGAAACTGCTTTTTGTTGGGAGTTCACGAGCAGTAAACACCCAGCATCTGGTCACACATTTGAACATTTACAGTGAACATCTTGCTGATGCCTTCTGGAAGTCGTTGCTCACCTGTATTTACCAGGACTCATGTTCCCTGAGTTGTGGCCTCTTGGCTCTGATGTGTTACCCACGTTTTGTTGCTGGTTAGTAGGGTACCCAGTTGGAAAGTTGAAAGAAATTACTTTTCTTTTCTTGGCTATTTTCAAAGGCAGTACAGAATTTCACACCTTTCAGTCACTATTTACCTGGCAGAAAAGAACAACGCTGCTGGTTTTCACTCTCTTCAGCCAGTTGCAGATGTTCCTCTATACTGATGCCCAGAGGATGTCCTGGATCTCCAAACATGAGTAGCAGAGGCGTGTTTGCTGCATGTGCCTCTGGACTGCTTGGTGTATTTTGCTTTGACTGTGAGCATTTCACTTTGCACTTGAATAAAATGTGAAATTGTTCTTTGTCTGAGCTAAATAGTGAGTAGAAGTCAATTACCATCGCCTAATGGGTTCCTTAGTGCTGCTCACCGGTTCCCTCAGCATCTCCTCCAGCCCCTGACCATGCTGGTGGCCTCTGCTGGACCATGCCTAAACGTGTGCATGTCTGCCTTGTACTGGGCAGCCCAAAACTGACCACAGCACTCTGCTGTGTTCTGAGTAGAGGGGAAGATTCACGCATCCCAGCTTTGGCTGTGTGGCTGTTGATGCAGCCCTCCATGCAGGTCACCTTCTTGGCCATAGGGCACCTTGCTAATGGTGCCTTGGTATATCTGCTCACTTTGATGTCGCTGTGTATATCTGTTATTGAGCAAAGTGTTTATTATCTATTTTATTATTAAATGGTTATCTACTATAATAATTTATTATATTTATTTCGGTGTTTATTTGAATAGTTCAGTATTTATGTAGGAGGTAAATATTGCTGCTAAAATAAGGGCTTGAAGAAATGGTTATAACAGGGCGAGGTCCACATCTCTGCAACTACACTGCCGTCTCAGTATGTGCTCTTCCCAGTAGTTTGAAGACAATTTCTATAGTCTTTTCTAGCTGAGCAGCTCACACAGGTTTCTGGAGCTACGTATCTTTGGTGTAATCAACTAAAAGCAATGTCTACTGTTTTAAGAGTAGGGAAAATAAAGCAAGTTATATCTCAAGTGAGGAGTTTCCAGAGTTAATAGCAGTGTGCATGTGATGGATCCCAGCAGAGTGGCCCATGCTGAACCCTTCCAGCCTCAGTGCCGGGCATGGCTCAGCTGGCTGGGTCTAGGGAGCTGGCAGTGAGAATGGTGGCTGGTGGCTATTCCAGCTGTGAGCAGCAATGCTAGAGGATGTGTTGTAGCACTGTTCAAGAGTACAGGATTTAATTCCGTGTTTTAACGAAAATGGGGAGCCTGAATAAAGGCAGGAGTAGCACAGAAATTGTCTTAAAGTGGAGAGCAATGGTTCAAGTGTGAGACCTTGTCTCTGGATTTGGACAGTGTTGTGATGTGAACAGTGTTGTGGGTTTGTAGAGGAGAATATAATTTGTTTAGCTTGAATGTGAAAACTTAATCCAATGTAACCGGGCATTTTGTCTAGGCAGGTTATGAGCTGCTTGCCCTGTCCTGTGGGATGGAGATTTCTACTTCTCAGGTTTGCAATCCTGTTGATAAAGCTGCGGAAGTTTTCCATTTGCTGCAGCGTCCCTGGACAGTCCATGAGATTTGTGCTGTTTGCTTTGGTAGCCACTTGAGGAAGTTCCACAGGTTATTTGTACATGTGATTAAAAATTATGTCCTCTGATAACTTCGATTGCTTGCAGTTTAACTTCACTCACTGTTGGGATTCTTCTTGTCTGCCTTTTCCAGCACTCAGAGAATACTAAGCAATTGGAGCATCTCACATATGGGGAGAAGCTGAGGGAGCAGGGACTGTCCAGTCTGCACAGAGAAGGGTCAAGGGATTTTATGAGTGTGTAAAAATACCTGATGGGTGGATAGGAAAGGTGAAGAAGCCAGACTTAGTGGTGAGCCCGGTTCACCAGGACAAGGGACCGTGGGCACAAATCGAAATACAAGAAATTCAGCTAAAATAAAAGAAAAAGATTGTACTGTGAGGATGACTGAACACTGGAGCAGGCTGCCCAGAGGCTCTGTGCAGCCTCCATCCTTGGAAATACTCAAAACACAGTCCTGAGCAACCTGCTGTAGTTAAACCTGTCTTGAGGATGAGACAATCTTCTGAGGTCCCTTCCAACCTCATCCACCCAGTTCTGGGATTACTGCCACCTTAAATCCTAAGGGTGAAAGGACTTCAGAGCACCAGGAAGAGGAAGAAACACTGAGATCTCAGTATGCACTAAACACCAGCAAAGCTGAGAAGAGTGCTTGGTCCTCTCTCTAGTATGTTGGCAGTTAGCACTTAGATACAAGATTAAGAATTTCAAGTTGCTTGTATATCCTCCAGCAAACATAAGCAATAAAACAATAAATGAGTTAGGGGGGAAAAAAACCCAACCCACAACACTAAAAGGCAGAGAGCCAGCACAGCAGATAATGCACACACAGACACATCTCTGGTTTCAACTAGCTGCAGAAATAGAGACGTTTTTCATGTGTTTTTACAGTCTGCAGCCAATCGTGGCCAAATTTATGGCTAGAATCAGTCATTTCCAGATTTGTCATGGAAACGTTCGCATTAGCAGGTTGCTAAAGCAGGGGGAAATTCTTGTTTGGATGGCTTTCCCTCCCTCTGTGGCAGTGTGCAGTGGGGATGGGGACACTGCCATGTGTGGGCAAATTCAATTCCAGTCGAAAAGAAATATCAAGGAATAAGGGATTATTTCTTTTCTCTACAGAACACCCACCTCCTACTCCCAGTGAAAAGGAAATATAACTCAGATACTTCTCAGTACCTGAATCTTGTTGGCCTTAGAGCTACAGGCTCCAGCTCTTCCCCTGACCACGCCAGCAGAAAGCAGAACTGGTTTTGGCTGGGAATCTGAGCCTGTTGAATGAGAGTAACCAGATTTTGATCCAAACCTAAATCATCAAGAGGAGCCCGGCACAGTTGTTAGATTTTGCAAGGGCTAACAGCAGGAATTTATACAACAGCAGTTGTGCCACTTTTATAATGTAATTTATACAACAGCAGTTGTGCCATTTTTGTTTTACATGAACAAAAAACTTTGTTTTGAAGGAAAGTTTGCTTTGAAATGGCTTATTGGCCCAAAGCATCAGGTTTCATGGCTGACCAGCTGTATTTTCAAGTGGTTTGCTTACCACCATTGCTGGGCTCATCAGTGCTCAGAAAAACATCTGTCTGACCTGAGCTCCTAATGTCATGGCTGAGCCCTTTCAATTCCCTGCACTGTAAAAAATCTGCTTCTCTTCTTAGACAAAGAAAAAGTGGTTCAAGTGGGTTTCAAGGAATCAGCCCTGTTAGGCCCTAGCCCTACTGCTGCAGGATGGGAATGGCAGATTTGGGCAGGGTAGCTCCCTTGATTTTTATTTGCCCAGTCTGTACCAT